ATTATTATTATTATTATTATTATTATTATTATTATTATTATTATTATCATCATCATCATCATCATCATCATCATCATCATCAAATCTTTATTGGGATTCACAGCCTTTGGGGCTGGTTGGTAGTTCAACGGCTCGAGTCCTAACCAAAGACCTAGGAACTGTTCAGGTAGCATCGGAGGATAATAAGCGGTTCCAAGTAGGGTGGTTTTTTGTAGAATCAGAGTATAAATTCAATGTATCAGTGATAAATTCAGGATTTCCAAATAGCGAGGTAGCCCTTTAGGTATTGCTCCAAGGGCTCCGATTACAATTGGAATAACACACACTTTCTTTTTCCAAAGTCACTCAACTTCAATTTGTAAGTCCCGATTTTTTCTTGCTGCGTGTCTTCAATTCGTAAATCACCAGGTATTGCAATGTCAGTGAACCAACCCTTTTTCTTTTCAACTATTGTTATGTCAGGTGTGTTGTGGGACAAGTGCCTGTCCGTCTGAATTCTGAAGTCCCACAAGATCTTGACTTTTTTCATTCTCCAGAACCTTCTCAACCTGACATTCCCAGTAGTTGTTACTATACTCAAATCCAAACTTTATTATTGTTGTTGTTGATCACACTAAGCCTGATGTTTGGCATTTATGTTCACCTATAAATGGAACCCAGGATAGACAGACGATCTTTGATGGTGTTAAAGTTATTGCTGCAGTATGTAAACTATTTCAAGTAAAGCTATCTTTTGCAGTTGGCTGATAGTGATTTTGTCAGTGTCAGTGGTGTTCAAATGGTGCTCCCATTGTTTTGGGATTATTATTATTAGCTAAGGGAAAAAGTGATAAAAACATCAGAAAGAGGAAAACGAGAGAATGATTTTAATAGCTTATTTCAAGAATTCCTCCTCCCGATTGCCATAATCACACAGTGTTCCCATATTAACTCAGATTCAACAATATAAATTGAAAACAGGTTTTGAAGTCGGCAAATGTCTCTGATTTTTACATTATTAAATTAGCAACGAGTCCTGTTTTAGATAGCAATTTCAGAATATTTGCACATGGGACAAAGCCTAGTTGTTCCACTTCTGGCAAGTTGAGAGCTTTCTGGTCTTAGTATTACGATTGAATTAGCATAATGTCATGGTTAAATTAGATTAATCACAGATGAATTATTCAGTGCCACTGAAGCAACTTTTCTTCTTTAGCCAATCTATTTGGAAAACCATTCTTAAATAGCAGGCAAAATGATGCAATATTTGGAGTACTTTGTTTTTGATCCTGACAGGGCTCCAAGATGACTCAGCCTTCCATCCTTCTGAGGTCAATGAAATGAGGACCCAGATTGTTGGGGGCAATATGCTGACTTTGTAAACCACTCAGGGTGCTGTATATATAAGTCTTATATATGTATACTTGTATATAAGTATATAAGTCTAAATGCTACTGCTAAGTGCTAAAATATTGGTATCTAAATCTCTTATCATCATCTTTTTAAAAACCCCATAATCCCTTGCGGTCTGGAGTCTGGGCAACTGAATGGAGCTAGTAGTGTTTAATGGCCAGATGCCCTTCCTGTTGCCATTGCAGAGTTATATTCAGCAGATATATTTTCGTTGTGCCCAGAGAGAGAAATATCTGCTTCTACCTGGGATGAAACTCATAGCCTCCTGATTGTGAGGCGAGAGTTCCAACTCTAGGCCACTGTACCATTCCTATCCAAATCTCTTTATACTATCAGAATAGAATATAACTTTATTACGGTCTTAGACCAGTAATAAACATCACTATTTACAATATATATATAGAAAAATACTGACACATTATAATACATTGATAGTGGATAAAAACATCCGTTAAGAAAATACATGTTCTCAAACAGTTAGGGGCACTCCCTGGTTTATATGAGTGGAGAGCCAATAAATATGCGCGTAAATATCATTTTCCAAAGATTGTTCTATCTCCAAAAATTGTCACAAATTGACAGCTATAATTCTGTAACCAGTTTTTTTCTAGTAGACATTGCAGCAAACACAGAATTTTGCCACTACACGCATAATAGCTGGGTTTGAATCTTGGAGGAGAAAGTCTACATAAAAATTTTCTGCCCTCCCTGGCAATCTCTCTAGGAAGGGGAGAATAGACAATGATCTATAAACTCTGTATAACTCACAGTAGAATTAAACATGTGAGATATCTTCAGCTTCTGCTTTAGCACATATACATATCCGTTCTGCTCTTGGTATTTTCTTATATCTGCCCTGACGGAGTGCTGATGGGGGAATATTAAATCTGGCTCTGAAGAATGCTATTCTTTGTTTTGGGAAGATTAGATCATTTAGATATCTTGCTGATTCCCACATATATACTGTCAATATTGCTAGTCTGCCTAGTATAAATCTTCCAAATGTACCCAAGAGGGGGAAAAAACTGTGACTGAGATAAGATAAAAGATAAGGATCTCTATCTCTGTTAAGTGATCTGCACATTTGGCATTTTGTAAAGGTGGATGCGGTTGAAATGGCAGATGGGATTGACTTTGGGAGATAGGAGGAAGAACTGCAGCTTAGACAATAGTCAGATAAAATTTGAGCCCGAAGGAGGAAGCTTCTTCCTGAAGCTTCTCAGAAGAGACACTTCCTAGTTTTGGAGAGAGTACAAGTGAAGGAAGGGAGGGGTAGTTTCAAACTTTTCAAGATTCTGTTAATGTAGCCCTTAAAATAAAGTTAATGCTAGTAAAGTAGTCCTCGTTAGGCTTTTCATCTTATCCACCTAGATCCGTGATGGCGAACTTATGGCACGCGTCCTGGAAGTGGCACACAGAGCCACTTTTGCTGGCACGCGAGAGGTTGCCTGGAAGAGGCATGCGCCACTGCCCAACAGCTGATTGTCGGGTATCTGGCATGTATGCGTTGGGGGGCACAGGAGATGCACACCAATGCCCAGAGATGTGCGGCGCATGGGAGATCGCATGCCCAGAGACGCATGACACACGGGATCGTGCACGCATGCGCAGGGTTGTTGGGAGCCCCCCAGCATGCATTGCCTTCAGGATGCTGGCATGTGTGTGTGTGTGTGTGTATCATGGGAGCCGAAAAAGGCTAGCCACCACTGACCTAGGTAGTAGAAGTGATATCAGGCATAAAATGCTTACAGGTAGTCCTTGACATACGGCAGTTCATTTAGTGACCATTCAAAGTTACAAAGGCACTGAAAAAAGTGTCTTGCGATGATTTTTCACGCTTACGACCCTTGTAGTATCCCCAAGGTCTTGTGATCAAAATTCAAATGCTTGGCAACTAGTTCATACTTACGACTGTTCTTGTGTCCCAAGGACATTTGATGCCCTTTTGACAAGCCATTTAACAACTAACTAACTTACCAACTGCAGTGATTCACTTTACAACTGGGGCAAGAAAGGTCCCAGTTGTGGGGGAAGCTCACTTAATGAGTTTTCTCACTTAAACAACAAAACTTTTGGGCTCAGTTGTGATTGTAAGTTGAGAACTATCTGTATTTCCCTGTGCGTGTGACTATCCGTAACTCTGGTTTATCTTTGCCTATTTTGGTAGATAAATATACTTCTGTACAAACCACTGGATTGTAATAACACATCTTCTTATTTTCTAAGAAGGCTTCTGAGACTCAGTAATATTACTGGAAAATAAAGATGAAATTGAGGCCAACATTTTTATTTTCAGCAAGCCAACTTTAGTTTAGTTTAGTTTATTGTCATTGCACCTCACACAACGAAATTAAATACCATTTTCAGTGTAAATTATGACTATGAAAATAAACGCACAACCACACTTCCTTCACATTCTTTACATTAAATTGAAAACCCCTGATATTGCATTAATATTGCGCTATAGAGTAGAATTCAGTAGAGTTACTGCCCTGGGATAGAAGCTGTTTTTCAGCCTATTTGATCTTGATTTTATTATCCTGTACCGTCTGCCAGATGATAATCATTTTAAAAAAAAGGGTTCCCAGGATGAGATGGATCTTTGAGCATGTTTTGAACTTTCTAAACTTGCCAAAACCTTTTTGAAGCTTGCCGTTAACAAGGAATGGTTAAGGAAATAAGAAAGAAAGTCAGATGGAACAAGGGAGCTGGTGTGCCTCAGGGAAGGTGCCCACAGAAACATTTGTGCCCTTAGCCAGGTGTATTGGGGAGCAACGATAAATGCTTGTGAATTATTAAGAATTATTAAAAGTGTTTAACTTACTCCAAAGATTCCGTTTATTTATGAGTCCATCTTTTTCTTCAAGAATGATGAAGTCCTCTTTACATGCAGAAGAGGATGATTTTGTGCCTGAGCTTCACAGAAGTATCCATCCCCGTGAAAGACCAGATTGGGAAGAGACCCTCAATGCAATGGTAAGGCATTATTAACAATATTATTTGGTACATTCTGCTTGTAGTTGCCTAAACGGCCTGAGACGTGTAGAATTTTTAAAAATGCGCTCGTGACTGGATGAGCTTGAAAATCCTAAAATGTTTCCTCTTGGATGCGCTCCACACGTAGGGGGGAAAGATGATGATGTGCCCACTGAGTGTGTTCCATTAAATCATCTTAGGTAGCAGAGCTTGTGATAATTCATTGTCAGTAATGCTGCAGTGGTTCTCGGGCTTCATTAATTTCCCCTTTAGCTACGATCCACAAAATGTGATCCTTCTCCCTGAGGAAATTAATCTTACAAGCATACATATTGACTAGCCTTATGATAATGTAGTCTGGAAAATCCTGACGACATGAATTTAAGGTAGTCCTCTTTTAGTGGCCACAGTTGGGACCAACAGCTCCTCCATTAAGCAAAACCGAGTGGGGAAATCACGTGGCCATGACTGTGGTACTCAGTTTCACGCCTTCAGCTTTTTTGCCTTCTAATCAGTCCCCTGCCCTCTGGAATATTCACTCTGATGCTGTGATAATTGGCGTGAAGGGAATTAATGTTTGTATTTACATTCATTGGTGAGGAAAGGATTACAAGAGAGTAAGTGGGCACACAATGGAAAATAGCGCGTTAATCCTGACAGTCATGAGTGCATTACACAAATACTCCACTGTATTCCCCGATGTGTGCTTACCTGTAATCCTTTTCTCTCCAATCTCTCTGCTCTGTGAAGTAGGGCAAAGAAAGTATGTTTGTGTATATACACACATATGGTGTAGGTGTATGCAGACATCCATAATATTGTGAAAGTGGTGCACACCATGTAAAAAATGGCTCACCTTTTGTATACTGCCTTTCCATGCAGAAGTATTTTCATTGAGTAGATCTCATTATTTGATATCTGTAATGTCTGTTGGAAGGAAGAATTTTCAAAATGCTTAAATTATAACGCTATAATTATGCAGTTAATGTGGCTTAATTGGAGTAATGTGAATATTAGTTGAAGACTTGTATGTTTACTTACAGTAGCTCTTTATCAGTGCAGAATATCACTGACAAACATTATTGTGATGACTGCTTAAGGAGTATCTTTCTGGCTCAATTTGTCTAAGCTTGGGTTTTGTGCATGGATATGAAAAACCAAAGCATCACCGGGGTTATAGAGATGAGATGGGAGGAAGGCACTGTAAAGTACTTCCTATTATTGTCAAGAAAACAACACGATTGTATCCATACAGTTGCTAAGAAAGAATCAAGCTTGACTTCAGGACATGTTTACCTTTTAGAACATTTTCTTTTCTTTTCTTATGATGCTAATGCCTTTTATTTGCTTTTGTTATTCAACGATCATTAGGGGGGAACCCAAGGGAGACCGGCAGTTTTTCATAGTGAGTTAACTATTAATTGGTATAATAGCTAAACATCTTCTGTTCAGATCTTTTCCTGGTGTTTTGAGGCTGCTCTGCTTGTTTTTCTGGTTGATAATTAAATGGCTGTTAAAATATGTTTTTTTGTTCTTCCTATTTGAATGCAGAAGCTTTAGTAATTGAACTACTTTACCTTTGTTGCAGTTTTGTTCTTCTGAATTATTTTGTTATTTTTGTTTGTGCAATACTAGGGACTGTTTTTGCAGAAGTGGTGGTGGAAAAAGCGTTTTCTTCCTTAGGAAGACTATCTTGAATACAAATTTTATACTATTTCAAAGATGTAGTGGTTTGTCATTAATAGAAAGTACCAAAAATGATTTGCTTGTTGTTGCTTTTTTTATCATATGCATTAAATACAATATTACTTTTTGAGGGAAATACTGTGTTTTCCCAGAATTAGCAACTTTGGTATTTGATTGATCAAATCTACTAATATTAGTTTGGTGAACATACTCTCAAGTCTTTTTTGTTTTTTCTAGCTGGAAATCTGCCATTTTTCCTTACATTGAATACCATAAATCTGGAATATATGACAAGTTTTTAAGTGAAGCAACAGTGGTGGGATTCAATTTTTTTTGACTACCAGTTCTGTGGTTGTGGCTTGGTGGGCGTGGCAGGGGATTCCCCCCCCCCAAAGTTAAAACAGGTGTTTGTAGTGAAACTTATCAAAATTGCGCGTATTTAAATTCTGAATGTGGGATCGGTCATTGTGAAAGGCATCAAATTGCGGAAGTCCTTTCTGCCACAGCAAAATTATAAGTTATCTTATCAACTTGCCATTCTGCTTTATTGTGCTTTGCAAAAGGCAGCCTGATGTGAAAACCCGTTCAGTGGTTACCTGTAAACAAATTGTGGTTGGACAATTGGTAATGGGAAGGAGCCAGCAGATGTTTTCTCACCAATTAAGCTGTTTGGCGGCTGTGGCCATCAAAAGACTTTCAGACTGTCACTGTGTCTCAGACTAAAATACCTCATAAGATTTCATTGTAGGGGAGAATTGGATGCTTTGCAGCTGAGGAGAGGCAGGTATAACTGTAGGGGTAGAAGAAGTTCCACCAATATAGAAGTTGCTATGCTTGTTTGGTCAGATTGTAGGCCAGTGGACTGTTCATTGTAGACACCTTGAAGCAAAGAACCTTGATTATCTTTTATTTTTCCCCTGCATTCATTGTTTTTGTTTTATATTTAGTTAAAACTGCTGAGGACCTGTTCTGTTCTGCTCTGCCAATATCAGTGTAGAATGTGAAAGCCCTGTTTCATTTCACTTTGATTTTCAATCAGGATTTCTGTTGATGAATCAGATCAAATTTTCCCCATTTACTTGAATTCTACTTTTATTTGTTTTCATCCCACAAATCACTTGCCAACTGAGAATTACAATCTAGCTGGGATTTAAACATGGCGAGCAAACCTAAAATAAGTTTGGTTAGTTCAATATATTGGTGGAATTTAACCATTTTTATCATATATTTTATCTATTTATCATTTTATTCTAGAATTTTTAATTGTATATTTATTGAGTGTTTTTATTTGTTCTAGTCTCTGGTCTATAATTGTAATAAATTCTGATTTGATTTGATTGAATTTAACCATTATCTTAGTATGTCAGGTCATAATATTAAACATTTATTTGTGTACAAGACTTGGTATGCAATCTAACAGTAGTAAAAATAACATGTTTTTTTTTTAAAAAAATAGCAATAGCCAATATAATACCATTCTACTGAGGTCTGATTCAGAACACCACCAGACATAGAAATCATTGCACAGCTTGCTGAATATTCTGATTTGTGGCTGGGGAGAACAGCCAAGTTTTTAAGGGTTTGTGGAAAGCAAAAAAAATAGAGTCATCTAAAACTTGCTCCCTAAGGCAGGCACTGTGATAGAGAAGACATATCTTTGGGGTCCTGCCTGGGTCAGATTTGGTGGGATAAGCAGAAATGATGAGAGACAGGCGGTCATGTAAATTATTTGGACCCTTACCAGGGCTGGGCTTCAAAACTTTCAGCAACGGGTTCTCTGCCTGGTTGCTGGGTGGGTGTGGCCATGGTGGGAGTGGCCTAGTTGGCCTCCTGCACCACAATGGGAGGGGGGCATTTTTACCCTCCCCAGGCTCCGGAGGCTTTCCTCGAACCACCAGGAGGGCTGAAACGGCCTCCCTGGGCTCTGGAGACCTTCTGGAGGCCGGCAATGGGCCCGCTTCCACCCTCTCGAACTTCTGGGAAGCCCATTTTTCGCCCTCCCCGAGCCTCCATGTGGCCTCTGCACTTACCTTGCATCCAAAATGGGCCACGTGGAGACTCCTGGGAGTGGCGGGGTGGGCTAGGCTGGGCTAGCCAGGTGTGGGATTCAGTGGTGGGATTCAAATTCTTTTACTACTGGTTCTGCAGGCGTGGCTTGGTGGGCGTGGCAGGGGAAGGATACTGTAAAATCTCCAGTCAGAGGTGGGATTTGCCAGTTCTCCGAACTACTCAAAATTTCTGCTTCTCCAGAACTGGTCAGAACCTGCTGAAGACCACCTCTGGTGGGATTTGACGGTTCACCGAACCAGTCATAATGTTAGCTACAGGTTCTCCTGAATCCGGGAGAACCCGTAGGAACCCCCCCCCCCCTTACCTGTAACACGGGGGACACAGCATGCCATGAATACAGCATTGTGTTTTGTTAATTTAGATTTAGTATATTGTGTATACCAAGCTTTCCTATACGCAAAGAAGTTCTAATGCAAAACAGCACCTCCTATTTTTGTTACAGTCTTTTAGATGCTATGATATTCTAGTTCTCTTTTACCTCTAGAAATCTCATCCAGTTGATAAATATCAACAGGGAGGAGTGTTAGAAACTGGATATTCTTTTCAAATGGAGATATGATATGCCTTTTAAGTCAAATACTGGTGCTGAAAATTTTCTTAGGGTCATTTAAAACAAAACCAAAAAATAACAATATAAGGTGCTCAGGAGTTGTGTGTATGATCATTAAGACCTGACTCCTGCAGCTGTCAAATTTCCCATCACCTGGCTTCCTAAAAATAAGATAATGTTTGCAGCAGGCTTTTATTTTCCTCTCAAATGAGTCCTGTCACTGACATATTCTGACAGCTCATGCAAAACTGACATTTTATATAAAAAAAAGTTCTTTAACTTTCCTAAATTCAGTGGTGGATCTTATCGTTAGGCAGCTAAATTAATAAAAATAATTTGAAGATGATGCTGTGTGGAGTAGACTGAAGCTTTTCAAACAATAGTCTTGCTAAAGCTTGTTTCTTTGTGTTATAAGGCAGTAGGTCCATATTACATCCCAAACTCAGTTGTGATCGGGCTACAATACGTATTAGTCTTGTTTTTAGTTAGACATCTAAGTTTATTTCTGTGTTGTGTGTTTGAAGGTGACTGGTAAAATGGGAATTAAAACACATCAGATCAGATAGTTATACAGTATATTTTTTATATACAAGGCTGGGAAAAGTGTAGCAAAAAAAAAAAAATCAATTAGTAGATCGGGTTGAGAGAAAGACACCTGATTGAAAGACACACAGATCACACGTATGGCTTGATT